CCTGATTATCTGTCTGCTCATCATTTTATAATATCAACTCTAACTACACGGTTATTTGCAGTAGGTGCCTCCCGGGTTATGATAAAGTTTTGTAACAACATGTCACCACTTGTAACTGTGACTTAGAGGTAGAGCAAATTTCAAACAGGGAGGACGTTCATCAAACAATCCAGGTGAGCAGCAAAAAGGAAACAAAAAAATACACAAGAACAATGGAAACACGAGAAAAACTACAAAGTATAAAGTAGAAATAAAAAACTGACTTGAGGGAGTCTGTTGCTGCCTGGGTTATTAATAGATATAGTCCACCAGTACACCGAATCTGATCAAATTCATCAGATCATCAGTTTTGTGATCTAGTACACATTTTTATCCCTGTCAGGTTACCGCTGACAGGGATAAGCGGAAGAGAGCGGATGGATGGAGGTTACCGCTGAATAATTAGATTTCAAAATGAAATATAAAAACTTAACGAGAGAAAGTATATCATACATAAGTATGATATACTTTATGTCAAACTTTTATTCTGTACATGATGACAACAGGGTGACACGAGCTGATTATTAATGACTGTTCTCTTTCCTCTTTATTTAAAAAAAATCAGCATTGACTTGTGTTCATATTCCTCAGTCGTTTGAGTTGCCATGGTGAATTGTGATATCGCGGTATGTGTTATAAACTACATAAAACTACACGTACTTCAGCTAGTTTGAAAGTAAATTTAATCTCAAAGTTTAGCTCTCCAGACAGCAAAATTTCCATCACATACTCTATATAACCTACAATACTCTGCCTGCTGTGTAGCAAATGGTAGAGAGGAAATTACTGGTAAACACAGAGGGTCATTTTTCGGAGCGAGAGAAAAATATTTCCTTCTGCAGTTAGCAGACCACAAACAAGAGAGTGAATATTGGACAACAGTCTAAATAAATAATGAAGTTACTCTGTAAGATGTCAGATCGTATCAGACCGCTGCAGTCAAAGGTTAGAGAAGCGAGTCTACAACAAGATCAATGGATCAGTCCTGGGTCATCTCTCTCGTCAACACCACTGCTCCGCTGATGCTGTTTCAGCCTACAGCTATGTGCAAGTGAAACTTTCCTTAATAAATTCATGCTAAATCAAGTTGGTCAAGTTAGTTTGTTAAAAATTATTTCCTGAAGACTAATCCATCCATCCATGCAGATTAAAGGACACCAGCATCTTACTAACCAAACATTTTTGTATTAGATGAGGTCAACAAGTTGCTTGTCATCTTGAGCACTTCACCATCTCCTTCTTTCACTTTATTTCTGATTGAATCCAACATTTGACAACTCTAGCTTTTCAACATGTGCAGTTCTAGGGAATTCAACAGTAATGGCAAAGTTTGTAATAAAGCTGCCCAAGCCTTTACTGGACGAAGAGTGGCCCTTTTACCATACGTTTTATACAGTCGTCCCAGGTGTGCGTGCCACCAAGATGTCTGATGGCCTAGCCCCCCCAAAACATCACCACAGAAGGTTTTGGTTAAACGTATTTAACCTCCCAGTGACTAGTATGCAGCTGATTAGCTCAAAACCGTGCAACAAGTTCACACTAGTTAGCAAGCTAATATTAGTGGGCTGAGATCACAGACACTATAAAAGATGAACACAGCTTTTGGGCCAGAAATTTAAGTTCATGCAAAAGCACCTTAACCGTGATTCTTTTTATTGGTCAGCCAGGAACCACTGCACTAGAAAAACTGGGGAAATGGCCCTCAGCTCGCTCTCCCTGTGACCTCAGTAAACATTTCCTGATATGTTTATGGGCCCAATCACTAGTTTCTAATCATCGCAAACAGCAACTGGGGCCCACTACCTTCCATTATTAACCCAATTACCTGTACTGCTGTCACTGTCAGCAGGCACCAGTAGACACTGTCACTATGATTTCTCATCACAGTAATGGCGGCTGTGCTGGATGGTGGAGCACACAAATCGGTGATAGCAAGGCACCACGCGATGACCATGTTTTGACATATTTTTAGCTGCACATTGTCTTGTGACTAAAATATTACCAAAGCTCAAAAGTGCATAAAGTTAAAAAATAATCGAATGCATCAGAACAAATAAAAAATACTTATACACCAAAAGTTAATTTCCTGTCACATCTGGTGTCCATCAGAAATTCTTCTAAGAACAGAATGTTTACGGCTTGAAAATAGCTCCGGGCCTGATGATGCAGGATCAATTAGCATACAGCTGTTCACATTCCTCTGGCTTCGAGCAATAATCGCTGATTACTCAAGATGCGGCAATCACAAAATAAACCCCTGTTGATCTTCATTCATTGTGCCCTGTGAACCCACCATCTGATCCATCCATGTTTTAAAGCTGCAGTATACAAAAGTGTTTTTAGAAAGTGACATGACATAAAAACACTCAAACACACTGGGCTTTAACACTCAAAAAATGCATAAACATGCTTAATCGTTCGTGATATTGTCACAGCTACAGTCAGCAGATTAGACAGGCGACCCACACAAACAACAACAACAACACTAAGGCCGGCTAACAGCAGCACTTCTCAACAGAAAGGTTCTGTACATCCTCAACAACTCACCTCAGTATGGGAGAGAAATAAGCTTCACTGACTCCAGAGGCTCCACATGGACACCCAGCTGACATAAACAGCAGACTGACAGAGTTGTTTGTACCTACAGCCGCCATAATTAGGATTAGCAATCTACTGACATCTACAGCAGTGGTGAGATTTCACAAGCTGTACCTTTAATTCTATGTTTTTTGGCTTGTTTTAACAGACAAAGGAAGAAAACTTGAGATGCACTGGTTTAGTCCATTCAACCCACTATTTTCTTTAAACTACTGCACCGAGGCTAGTGTGAAATTTGCTCAAGTCCCTCCTCACAGGCTACATTTTTGTAAAGCCTTAAAAAACAGAGGCCAGAGGCACTGCAGAATTCTTTTTTTTTTTTTAAATAACTACACCAGCTTTAAATGTAGTTGTTTCTTCTTTGTAGTTGGGACCTTTGTTATGATTGCATGTGTCAGATGCTTCACTTCATAATAAGGCTCTGGTCTGGAAGAACCTTCGTCATATCAGAGGTGTACACTGGAACATTTACAATAAAGGACCCAGGCCAGCCCTGTATGTCTGTCTGTCCTTGAAAACAATGAAAACATGTCCCTGTGTGTGTGTGTGTGTGTGTGTACTCACAGCCAGGAGGCGGTTCTTGTCCTTCTCGGCGTTGTTGAGAGCGGTATCCAGGGTCACCCTGTTCTTCTTGGCGACTTCCTCCAGAGCTCGAGCTTGGCTCTCCTTCATTTGGCTGGTCTCCTCTTCGTATCGAGCTCGCAGACTGTTCACGTCCTTCTCGTGGGACACTTTCTCATCACGGAGGGTCTAAAAAACACCAAAAACGCACGTGCAAACTTAAATTATGCTCAAAGGTGAGCGCTGCGATAGATGATAGACAGACACAGAGCTCCGGCTGACATTCACACCATATGCTGCATTATTCAGCCATATTGCCACCGTTTGCTTGGGGATAATCCTCCAGGCTGCCTCTATACAGTGCTACTCTTTCTCTCCACATCACTCTCATGTGTTATTCTTTGAACAGTAAAAGTTGATAAAGCCTGGGCACAGCCTATCTGGGATTACTGATAATGGGGTTATTGATTAGGACACAATGAAGCCCACTATCAGTCTCAAAAATAAAGATACAATCGTTTGGATTCTAGATGTCCAACAGTCTTTATCACACTGGTGTTCGGGTATTGTGTTTTTTAAGTATGCTAAAGCAGTTTAGCTGATAACAGGAGAACTTCTTTTTACTCATTATTTAAACAGTAGGTCTTTGAGTTCACGCAGAAAGAAACAAACAGACTTTGGGATGTTTTGTAGTGAAGTCCCAAGTGAAATGAACAGCTGCTGATTGAAGACTCTGACCAACACGTTTTAAACATTGTAAAAAGATCTTTAATATAGGCAGACATGTAATATTATGTTTGACAAAAATGTAACTAAATTAGGTGCACAGAAACTATATTTGACTCTGCAGTGGGACATCGCATGATGATGACAACAGCGTATAATACGGTGACCTTTGGGATAAAATAAGAAGCAGCAATAAGGAGACCAAACAGTTCAGGATACGTTGACCTGATCGTGTGGCTGTTTTCACTTTTTTTTTCTTTTCTTGTTTTCTTGGACAAGTCCAAATATCAACTTTTGTGTCTATACAGGAAACAGTTTTGATGATCTATAGTATCACTTTACATATGAATTATTTGTTTAAGGCAAACACATCAGCAGTGTTAGTATTAGTCATAATGCATAAGGCTTACTACAAAACCTCCTAGTGGTAAAATGTCAATGTACCAGTGTTGTACACTCATTCAAACAATCAACTATGGTTAGAAGTGCTTCACAAGTACCTGGATGATGTACAGTCAAACAAGTAAGTAAAACTCTTGCCCTTCTTGCCCGCAGGAAAGAGAGGGACCTGAGAAATTTTCAACCAACAAGAGCTAACAAGACAATCACAATTCTCAGTGTCATCTGTGTACATTAAGTGCACAACTTAGATCATTTAATTTGAGACAACACTGTGTCAAAGTTTACAAACTGCACGTGTAACTGAACTAATAAGGAGTACTGTAAAAATGCTCATCTGTATAGATAAATCCAATAGTAATTTTAAATTTAAGAAAAAAGTGAAAATTTGTTCAAAACTAACTTCTAATGTGACCCACTGATGAGTTACAGACATGACAGATGTTTAAGAGGAGGAAAAACATTAAAAAGCCTGAAATTCCAAGTTAAAATGCTAAGCTAATGAGTATAAATGCAAAAAAAAAATATGTAATGAGCATCATTTAAAGAATGAATAAAAGTTATTAGCAGTGATTTATGTGTGGATGAAATGAGAGGAGAAGCCGTAGAATAGCAGAGCAAGGAGGCAGAAAATGCAGTGAAGAACAGATGTAGAAAAGATGTTTAGAGAGACACAAGGAGAAAGAATGAAGTCCTGCAGAGTTAGGTTGCTGCCAGGCTCTATAAACTGTGTAACTCAGAGATGAGCAGACAGGCAAGAACAAATGCCCTCTGTACCCAGCAACAGTGCACTGGGTTTGTCATTGGGAAGCTATTATAGTATGAATCAAGGCTACAGTCAAAAAACAGGGATTTTCAGGGGAAACAGAAAAAACAGACAAAAAAAAAAAATAATATGCAAGCGGTAAAGTTTGGTTTTAATCAGGAGAGCAGCTGTTTCCTCTTTGCATGGCTTTAACAAAACTTTAATTGGCTAAACTTTGCCAAAAAAAAAGTCACAAGGGAACTGTAATACACATGAGCTGAGCTGACTCACACAGTGAGCGATCTGAGGGAACATATCCTATTAAAGACTATACCAAGATTATCTGACTACTAATGAGATTAGAGTTAAAATCAGCAGCTCTGTTTCTAGCTTTAAATTTCGGTCGGTTGTGTGTCTCGGATTAAAAAACTGTAGCTAAAGGTGTAGATAAAGTTTACATGTGGGTTCTGGTTGTGGAGCTGGGTAGGTTCCTGGTTTCTTTGCGCACTAACAAGAGATTGGCACCACACCAATCATCTGGTGGCAATAGCACATCAGGGCGTACTACAGGCAGACATAAAAGGGATGGCAGGAAGAAAATTCGAAAGTAACTAATAAAAATAATTTTTAAAATAAGGTTATATTTTTTTTAATTTAAATTTGCTCAGTCTCAGGAGTCCACACAGTGAATTTCAGGTAGGCCATTAAAAGGCTCTGACAGCATTTTTACTGATGACAAAGGTATGCGTTATTTGATGGTAATTTTATTAAAATAAATAAATAAAGAGGCTAAGTGGCTGGTAATAGAAGTGAGGGATTAGCTGAGTGAACAATTAATCTTTGGCACCACAAATATATGTTTGTTAAACTAATTGCAAATGTCATCAGTGTCACCGACTCACTGTTGGGTTACGCAGCCACCCGTCACTTACCCAGGGTTGCACTGTACACTGCACTGTAGCCGCGACAGCTCCCCTCCCCTCCCCTCTCGCTAATTGCTGTAATAGATGTAAACAAGCAGGGTGGGAGGTGGAGCAGATGACATCTAGTAAAAACTTCTAGAGTCCACCAGTCTACTTTGATGTAGCAAATGAAGGGTTGAATGTAGCGTTTGAGTCCGGCCTGCATCATTGACTATGACAGCCTTAATTAATTTCAAATCAAACTATCAATATATATCACATTTTACAAAAAAATCCTATTAACTGTTTAGGAATTGCAGACATTTTAAAATACAGATCACATTTTTAGAGGTTCAAAATAATTGGAGGATTCACAAGCAGTTTCATAGCTTAGTTATTATTATACAACAAATGAAGCAGACATAATATCTGAAGTTGACTTAAAATGTTGAATTCCACGTGTCTCAGCAAGACACACGAGACAACTAAGGTGGATGAAGACAGAATTAATTCCATGGTTAAGAGAAGTAACATTTAACCAAGCCAAGAACGCCTTTGAGCAGATAGCTGGTACCTCCATCTGATCCTATCACTAATATCGTCCTCTGTCACACCAAACTTCTGCATGTCCTCCTTCACTATACCTGTGAATCTTTTCTGTCGTCTCTGGCAGCTCCACATTCAAAATACCTAGCCTAATATGCACTCTCTCTCATCTGCACATGTCGAAACCATCTCAGCCTTCCCTCTTTTGAACTTTATCTCCAAACAGCTCAACCTCAGCTGTCCCTCTGATGCACTCATTTCTAATTTCTAAACATACATCAAATCAGGACTCACTACCATCTTGTAAACCTTCCCTTTCAGTCTTGCTGCTATTCTTCTGTCACAAATCACCTGACCCACTCCTCCCTGTATGCACTTTCTTCTTCACCTCTCCTGTGCACTGTCCATTACTTTGAATGGTTGACCCCAAGTATTCCAACTCATCTACCTTTTTTATGTTTATCTTTCCACCTGTCTCCCTTTCATTCACACACGTGTTCTGTTTTGTTTCATTGTTTCATTCTGTTATTTGTTTCATTCCTCCTCTCTCCAGAGCATACCTCGACCTCTCCAGACTCTCTGCTTTCTACTCTCCTTACAGATCATAATATAATCTGTGATCATCAGCGTTCACAGAAACTCCTTCCTGAGCTCAGCTGTCAACCTGTCCATCATGACCACAAACAAGTAGGGGCTCTGATCAGATTTAATCTCACCCCAACTTGAACCCATCTGTCACTCTTACCACACACCTCACCAGTATCTTGCTGTCCTCATAAATGTCCTGTACCTCCCCTCACATAACTTCTCTGACGGCTCATCAACTTTGTCCATCTATCGTGTGTCCAGCTTCACATACAACTGACTGTAAGCTTTTCCTTTGCCACCTCACTCTTTCTTGAATGCCTACCTTCCCAGTACTCCGGTGTACTATTTTTAATCTCCGCGCTATCTCACTTTTCCACCTTCTTCCCTTGATATTCTCACCCTGATAACAAAATTTATATCAATGGACATAAGTGGAGCCTTGCATGGTGGTGGATGCAGAAACTACAGCATTGTTGTTGGTTTATTAGATGGAGAGACATCTGTTTCGGCATCTCATGGTATTAAAAATCATATCCTATGACATACTAATACCCTAGTGTTCTATATACTTTAATGGCAGTAAATTTACTGCTTCAGAATTAAAAGCGTAATAGCTCCCCAGCCTATTTAGTGATACTAAATGCTTACATAACCACAGAGAGCCCATTACAAATTATATTCACTCATTACAAATTAAATATTTGCTTAAGTGTGATAAACGTAATGTGTAAAACTCTTCCTTTGTCCACTAAACTGAACTCTAGAAATACTAGGCTTCAGAAAAATGTGAATATATTAGCTTCTCAAGTCATTTAGACTGACTGATCAACATAACCTCTCAGCATGACACATTTTAGTGTCCTAAAACATGTACAATTTATATCTCATTCAACCCCACAATTTTCATTAACCCTACTGAGTGTCTGGCAGATCATCAGACACTGGCAGCAACATGAAAAAACTTTAATCTCCGATCAAAGAACGATCATATTAGTGTGCAGTAATTGCTCAGAACCAAAGGCTGTTTTGGAAAACTACCAAAAACAACATCTAACAAACTGGTCAAACTGGGAAAGCCTGTTGTGTTATCATATGGCCAACAAAGCCATGGGCGACACATCTCCACAGTGTGACACAAACAACAGGCCATGAACATCCTGAGAGGTTCATTTCTCCTTTTGCAGAGAGACAGAGGAAAAAAACTCAAAGAAATAAAAACAAACAAAATGAGAGAGGATGGTAATAAGAGGGAAAAGAGGGAACTGAAATGAAAACCAAGGAAACAATTAATCTAATGACTTTTCACACATGTTCCCTAATTAAGTCAGGTCAATGAAATTATCATTATAGTTCCGTCTCTTCTTGTTCACTAATGTTCCTTATTTCGAACCATAATTGATCCAATCTTTGTCTTAAAAAAACAAGGAAAAAAGAAAACATGGTCTGCGTTGCCAAAAAAGATGCAAATTTATATGGATTTCACTTGGAAGGAACTGTGCCAAATATCACTACATTAACAATTAAATGTAATTATAAAAATCATCTTTGCAATGTTTACATCAAGGTAATTTTAATTTATTTTACAAATAC